AATGCAAGTCATAAAAATAAAATGTTTACACAAGTTTATGGAGATGTACAAAGTACAAAATATGTCACATTTGCACCCTAGGCTTTTTCTTTTCTAGTCTTAGCCCTCAATAAAGACATCCACAAATCAATGCAAATTTAGAAAAGGGATCACCCAGAGCCATTCACTATTGTGACATTCTGTCAGTGAGTTCACTTCCTAGGTATAAGTATTCCCAGTTATTTCTAATTATTCTTTGCCAAATACACATTTCTTTCTAATATACACATCTCTGAAGATCAAAATGGTAAAAAAACTATACTCTGCTCCTGGTCTGAGGAAGCTCTTACTGGGAGCATAATCTGTTTCTGAAATCAGAATATGATAAGCTTTTCATGCTTTATGACCATGTTTTATGAAACGATCATCATTGCAGTGATTTATGTGTATGAACAAATACAGACAGACCTGTACATTAAACTCTGTCATGCAATGATGCAAGACTTGGTCATGAGATTGTCAGACTACATTTTAGGTGTCAGCTGAATATGCTGGTCAAATATGTCATGGAAAGAATGACCAATTTTAATTTGTATCCAACTTGAATCATAGAATAAAAAAGGTCATTAGTTTAACAATTTAAAAGTGTTGCATATCACTCTCCTCTCTGAAGCCTTCATGAGGGGTATGAAACATACAATTAAGAGAAATTAAGGGAACTGGACCTTAGCCAAGAAAATTATTAAGTAACTGAGTGTCTACACAGACTGATGCTGGGAAATGTTTTTTGAAGGATAGATGGCTGACAACTACGTAAGTGTTGAAACCTTGTCTGTAATTTACATTTTAAAAGTCAGATTATGCTCTCAATAGTGCTTAAATAATGCTGAGGGCAGAAACCTGTCTTTTGCTTTCAAAGCAATAGAGCTAAAGAGGAGAAAAATAAAAGGCTAGGCTAGGCCTGTGCTGCACTAAATTTCTACTTAAGATCTTAAAATACTCCAAGTCACATTGAGGGATTGCTTCATGAAGTTTAGTATCTGTCAGACTGAGGGTGTAATTCTGATTTTCTCAATCTATGTGGGCCTTAAGTGAATTTTAATTGGCATTACTCACTGGGAAAGTGAGATGAGATTCTAAGGCTGAAAGTATGAAGGACTGAGTCAACCAAGTGAGTGAAACAGTGACTAACTAATTAAGTGAATGAGTGAGCACGGCATTGTTTGCTTTTGTGATCATTTCTATGCATGAGTGAATGGCAGGGCTATTACATGTGTGTGAATGAGTGGGGTCAGAGTTGCTGAACAATCCATACATTTGTGTGGTCTTCCCATCCTTGATTAGACTAATGAGCCGAGTGTTTGGAATATTAATGCATGTAGACTAGAGCTAAACTTGTTATTTAGTTGGGAGACAAATTAAAAAAAAAATATGATCTATAGCCTGTCAAAGTCTGTTTTCGGTTTCATACGTGTAACTCTGGATTGGGTAATCAGCTGCACCCTGGCAGGTTGCTTCCAGCTCATCAGCGTCAGGGAGCTGAATGCTACACTCTTGCTTCTTCCAGGATTATTGTTGTAAGTGACATTATCAAATCTGTTTGTAGTTTATTGCAAATCTAATTGTGTCATATAAACTGAAGCATTATCTGACAATGAAATGATTTTCTGTCTTATTACACTTTCATAAAAGAACAGATTTGGCTATCCTTATGTCAACTATTTTGCTTCCAAAGTAGTTAACAAGGCTAGCAATAATTTTGGCACCCTAAAAGCTTATTCCTTCAAATAGCACAAACAGAAGCAGAATGAAACCTTGTTCTATTATGTCATATATAAATCACATTCTTTGTCACTTTTCATTCAATAGCTGCACGCAATTAAGAGAACAGGAGTCAACAATATGCTAAAATTCAATCAAATTATAGGTGTGATGTGGGTATATAAAGAAATAGTCTAGAATTTTGAAAAACTCAGAATTTTTTCCCCCTATGTTTTTTTTTAACTCCTGAAGACTTGTTTATCTTTCCATTTTTCTAAAGATAAAAACAAATTTTAAAAAGAAGTAAATTCCAGTAGTAGAAAAGGTCAAAGAAAATATATCAAGCACTAGTCGTTACCAGTATTTAACAACTCTGATATCTTGACCTGAGCTGGAGAATGCTTTTAATTATTGTAAATTATTCTGAATTTGAAAGTCAAGTTTATGGGAAACATATGTATATTACATAATTAATCCTGCAGTTTTTTCAGGCTCTTTTTTGCATGTTGGCTGATTGTTCCAGTACAAGATATTTCCTGATCCTAAGCCAATTTCTGCCCTCTCATCTGCAGACTACACTGCACTACACTCTCTCAGAATGTTTCAGTAAATTGAGCAGCTGGCAGTATTTTTTCATATATCTTATGATCTGACAACATTTTGCATTTCTTTAAAAAGCACGAATCCTTTGCTTTTTGCATCCTCCAGGTTTGGATGGCAGTCCTCCAGAGAAGGACATGATTTGGCAAAAAAAGTGATTTAGCAAAATGCTGATGTTCTGCATATGCTGTCATCTTTTCCAAGCGTATTTGGTCTTGATTTGAATGCCTTAGAGTATGTAGCTAGCTTGACAGAGAGTAACAGTTTTAGGATTCTTGTGGGTTTTCCTAGCCAAAAAAGCTATCTGACTTTACAAGCAAAATTGTCACTGATATGTGTTCAAGCCAAATGCCAAAGGTAAAAATTTGTGACTTATACTCTGATGGAAGTCACATAAGTATGTCCTAGTTATCCAGGCAGTATCTAGTAAAACTAGGGTACAATTTCATTCAGATCTCATGACAAAAGTGATCAAACTCAGGAAAAAACGGAGGTTAAAATTATTGAAAAAGTTTTAAATGGCGAAACTGTTTTATAGAAAACAGTGAATTATCAGTCTGTGTTTTAAACTGATGGTTAAAATGTTTCAAAATTCTTCTTCAATCACAACATGTATCCCTATCTAAGGCTACTGTTAGCAGCCACTTTATTAAGAACTGAAAATTGGCTGATGTTCTTCTGAGACTCTGAGTCTCCTTCTACCAATTCCAAACAGTGTTACTGAATAGAGAAGGCTGAACAACATTTCTATGAAATGTACCGTGTTTCAAAGAACCGGGTTTATAGGTTATTTCAGTCTAGTTCTTCAGTTTATGATTAACTGCTGGGAACCTGAGGTGTGAGGAGTAGATGGTCCAGGAAGCAGATGTGATTTACTCTTCCTTTGGTTTACTTTGTGGATTTTTGCAACTACATTTGCATGTGCTAATTCTCACATTTTCAAAATAAGGATGAGATTAATGAATGTTTATAAAGTGCTTTTCATGCCAAGAGAAAAGGAGGCTTTAGATCTCAGGATATGATTGTTAGAGTGGAAACTTACTTGTGAAACATTGAAATTATTTTCAAAGTACATTCCATATTGGATGATTTGAACGCAATATTGAAATACAGTATTGGAAGATAAGTAGGAGTTAAATCATGCCATATTTATTTTGGGTGGCCAAATACATGGAGGCAGAAACCTTGCCCACAGCTGGATCAACTTTTCAGATAAGAAAGGGCAATGTTACACCACAGAGCAAGCAAATGCTTGTCTGCCTGTAATACTTGCAGATCTTCAAAAGGTTGCGTTCGGGCCATGGCTTGACATCTACCATGGATCATGAAGCTTAACTGAAGAGCATTTGCTTCATGAAATTATGTCATGTTTTAACCTCAGCCAGCAGCTAAATACCACACAGCTGCTCGCTCACTATCCCCTGCCTCTCTGGTGTGATGGGGAGGAGAATTGGAAAAAACAATGAACCCCATGGGTTGATAACAATTAAAGAATTGAAATACAGCTGAGAATAATGGTGATGATGATGATAATAATAATAACAATATAGTTATAAAAAGGAGAGAGAGAGTGGGGAATAAAACCAAGAGAAACAAATGGTGCACAACATATTTGGTCACCGATTGATGCCCAGCACATCTCCCAGCAGTGATCAGTGGCTGCCCACGTTTGAATGCCCCACCACCTATGTCTCACTTTTTTCTGGAGTATCATGTCACCACAAGTCCTGCTTCCCAAGGCCCAGGACAGTGTTCTGGGTGGTGGCTTGGATCTGTGTCCAGCCATCCAGTGGCTGCTTCCACCACTGTAAGTACATGGCCCCGGCCCTGGTGGGTTGGTGGGAGTGAGTTAGAGCCAACCTGCCAGGCCCTCCTGTGTTTATACTGCAGACACCATCCTCCACACAAGCTTGTCCTGCTTGACTGCAGCTCGTGTTTCACGTTCATGGAAAACCTTTGTGAGAGTGTCCATGGATAAGTTCCACCCTATGGTCATGAGCCCAGCTGTGGGTTACATCCTTCCTTTATGGCCCAAGGTGCCCAAGGTGGGCCCACTGAGCTAAAAATTGTTCACACTTATGTTGCCAATCCAGATCCACCTGAGATACTTTAGTCTTAGCAGCCTGATCCGTCTGCTAGTTATTCTGATTTTCTTCTGTGACCCAACTCTTGGACACTTGAGCATCTGCATGATGTATTTTCAAACAGAGGGTCTTCACCCAGGCATCAGTATCTTGCCACAGCAGTGTCAATGCCACAATGCCAGTGCTGTCAATTGTTCTGCTTCCATCACTGCAACCACTCCCATAGGGCATTTGCCAATATCCCTGAGTCAGTGTAGAGATAAAATGCTGGCCATTTCTCTCATTCAGCAATGTGTAAAGCCAGCTGGATAGCTTTCACATCTGCAAACCTTCTCCCTCAGCAGTTTCTGTGACTTGTTATAGGGAACTCCCTACAAGCGTTCTCCATCTCTGATGCTACCCTACAATATGACAGGACCCATCAGCAAACAGGACATTTTGCTTCTCTCTTTCTGAAAATTTATTATGCAGTGGGGCCTCTTCAGCACATGTTACTTCCTCCTCTGGTAACAAGCTATCAGATTGCACTCTGTTTCTTAAACAAGACTAATAGACAAAAATAAATCAAAATCTGTATGATTAATTCTGTATTTTATATTTGGCCTGATAATATTGCCTGCACAAAAGGAGAACCTCATGAATACTTTTGTGCATGAGGTCACTAAAGATTATGGACTACCATCTGGAAGTTCTGCACTTTTCCTCCTTCTTAGCCCATACTTCATGTAGCCTATTCAGAATTCTCCTCGTGCTCCCTCAGAGCGTGGAAGTTGAATGCGTAGGCTTTGCACATCGCATACTCTCTCGCAGTCCCTCTTTCACAAAGTGCCTCTCACAGGTCAAGAAGTTCACATCACTGTGAAGATAGAGAGGATCAATAATAAAGAACTGCTGTCATTTGACAGCTGCTCGTTGACACATATTATGGGTATCCAAATTTATTTCACCAGCTTTTGCTGTCATTCTCTGTGTATAGACTCAAGGGACAAGAAAACTGCTACAGAAGCTGCATCATTAAAACCCGTTTGTACAATGCTGCAGGAATGTCCGGTGCGAGCAGCTTTAGATTCATGTTCTTTTGCGAGTTCTCAGAGCTGCAGCTCAATTATTTATACTATGTACAGTGTTTTCCTGAGAAACTGAATGAAGGCAGGTAAAGAGAAACTTTATTAATCCTGGGTTTCAAGCTGTATCCAAATGACACTGGCAGTTCAGAAGGCTTTTCTAAACTGCACAGCTGAGAAACACTTATCCCTGTGTGCCTTACCCAGCACACAGAGAATACCACATCAAAAGCACTAAATCAGCTTCATTAGACTGCATAAACAGAACACTTTGTGTTTTTATTTGCTCTCCTTCTTATTAAAAAAAAATCAAACTTAGGAAATTGCAGGCAAAAATAAATAAATGAAGACCTACATTCATACGCACATACAGTTACCTAGTTAAAATGTAAGAAGTCAGGAAATGCAAAAGTTAATATTCTTATGTCAGCAATGCTGCACTGAATGGAGAGAGTTTTCTCCTCTTGTTTTCCTTGTTACATTTATTCAAGAATGTGGCCCCTCTCAAACTGCAGAAACATCACAGTTTTTGAGAAAAGATAGTAACATCTAGATCAAACCAAGTAGACTGCCCACACTTATTTGTAAAAGTCTTTTGATTAAGTCTTTGCTTAATAATAATATAAAGCTCTAATAAAATTAATGGAATACATTAATTGCTATACTTCTGGTGTTTAATATATGCTGTAAAATAAACCAGATGTACATTGTGACCAAATTAATATTGCTGTAAAAGCTTGATATTTGCATTTTGTGGTTGCTAACATCCTGTATTAGTGAATTAGAGAACAATTCTGTGCTGTCAGATTTGGGCTTTTTAGTTATCTTCTATTCATTAGCCCAAAGTGATCGATATCCAGCAAGTTACTAACAAAGAGAGGAATTCCAGCACCTCTCTGCTGAAGGAGTTTCAAAATATATATCCTTCTAAGGACTGCTGAAATATCTTTATTAATTAGTATGTTCTTCATTTAAAAATGTTAGGTATTTGGCAATTTATTATCTGAACAACTTTTCAAACACAATAATGTATAAAAAATGTTTGAGACCTGAGTTAACTGGTTAACAATCTTTCTGAAGCATATTTATAATATGATTGATCACCAATATTTTACAATGCTAAGTATACAAACAATTTCAACTGATTTAGTCCATCATTAGTATATTGTATATTTATAATAAGATATCGGGGGCAGGGGTCCTCCTAGGGGGAGTGTGGTCCCTGGTTTGGTTTAATTTTAAGGGAGGAAACCTCTGAACCATTGCTATTTACTATTTACTATTATCTTGAATTTGATAGTGGGTATTTAATTTGACTGAAAGGACCAATAGAAATAGCATGCACAAAAATTCCCCAATCATATTAGGATAAACACTGCTCTGCTGATCCCAAAACCTACTTACAGTCCTGTCTTCTAGTTGAAATCAAGTCTGCCAAGAATCACATAATTCTGATCTGTTTAGAAGAAAAGGTCATATGTTAGAGCTGGATTTGCAGCCTAGCTTGCAAATAAGCCTACCTTGAAAATGTGAATGTTTCAAATTAGCGGCTGGTCCCAAGCTTCTTGTGTAAGTCTGCTGTGAGTGCTGAGAAAAGAAAAATGCAGCTTGCAGAAGCAAGTGGAGACCTTGAGTAGCTGATGTTTGGCCATTCAGTATTCATTGCCCATAACCAATGGCTGTGAAAGTGTTTATGAGCCCTGACCATTTCCCATGGGATTAGAAAAGTCAGAATTTGTAAAAGAGCACTTTATCTTCCATTTATGCATCATGCTACAGTTTCTAAAGTTTTAATTACTTGTATGTTTCAAAACATGATGTGTGTGTAAATGAGTCAGTTCCTTTTATAATGCATGTAAGCTATGGAATACACCAATTTACCAACAACAATATTTTTTTTACTGTTTCATTTCAGAAATCCAATCTTTTTAATCTTATCTTCCCTGAGGAAGAACATCTAGAATTCACATATATTGAAAGAAAAGAAAACTAAGGCCTATACTCTTGCTATCCACAGAGTAGTAGAAGGTGGGATCAGAAAAGGATTTAGTCCCAGTTATTGAGTAGCTGAAATTTAGATCATATCATCAGTAGAGGCTGCTTTGGTGGGTTGAAAAATGCTCAGACTTAGTCCCAGTATCATACAAAATCAATAATATATATATACAATATCAAATATGAGTGTAAAAGTGGATAGTTGGATGTAAATGAAAAATTTTAGAGGGCTCTGTTGTGACTTTATGAACCATCTGCCACATTAGACTTATGTAATATATGCAATATAGAGATAGTGTAGGCCTGCAGAAAGTAGTCTGCAGTTTTGCACGATATTTTTCCATTTCTCAGCTATATTAAAAAGCTGTTTGTCATGAGTAAAAAACGGGGAGGACAGAGAACATCTGCCCTGCAAAATTTAACTCAAGACAAATTGTGTTGAGTTGGCCTTATTTTTTTCCCCTCTCTATATGTAAAAAAAGCATAAAGAAATTATTCTTTTCCCTGTGCTGCAATCTTTTGACAGGGGCTTCAGAAGGACTTGCAAACACTTAAGATTGTAATCTTATTTTCAGAAAAGCAGCAGCTGAACTGAGTATATTTTTTGGTGGAGCAGTGGTTCCCCAGCCAACACTTTGTCATCAGTTCACTGTGCAGTGATGTTTAGTGCCCTGCTCTGGCACTAAAACCTTCCACTACAAAGTTCTTCATTGGAGGCCATCAATACACTTGAAACATTGGGAGAATTTATACTGGGTTGGTGTTTCAAATTGTGATGGCCATTGTGGTTTTCATCCAGCACTGGTCTAAGTGTTAAATTCAAGTTTACACTGTCATAAAATTACAGTCTAGTTTTAAATTCATTTAACATCGCATGTGGCACTGAGATGTGATCCTACCTCATAAGCTCGTAGTGTCCTAATTTAGGGAATAATGTCTGCCAGAGATCTAAAATGGATTAGACCAAACTGTTAACACTGGGAATAACCAAAAATAATGCATGTTTCCTATCCTTAGGGTCAATAACATTTTTTGGAAGCATGCATATCTTGTAATAAAAGAGACAGCTTATTTCTAATTACAGAACCATTTTATTTTAAAAAAAGAAAGCAATATATTTGTTAGTCAAAGATACCAAGACAAATTCTGGAAAGGACTGTGTACCTCCTTATTACTGGAAAACAGTAATAGATGCAGCAGTTTAGTTCAGCCTCTTACAAAATTTAATTTAATTATTGGTATCTGCCTTGCTTCAATTAAGCCATAGTGTTGTGTAAATTGAACAATCCTAATAATTTTCTGGATTGTTTCCAAATGCCTCAGTTTCTGAAGGAGACTGAAATTTGCAATTTGAAATTTGTCAAAATTTGCAAAATGACAGATATACTGTGTCCAATATAAAATATTTGTCTTCCTTGATATGTCACGGGAATTTTTATATTGTAAGAATATTATATTTCACTTCATCCAAGTGCTTTGTGGGTTTATTGGCTAAGTGGTTTGTGCTAACCCCTACACCTGTTTTATAAGTATTAATTAATTAAAAAATTTTGGATAGCAAGCAATGATATCTTCCAAGTTATGAATAACAGCATTTTTAGCAGGATTTACCATTTGACAATTTTGTTTTATATACTTAATCTCTTCAAGTGCTTTTTTCACTGCCATTTCCTGGCAGGCTTATTACACCTGTGCCAATCACACACACCCTGTTTTGTACGGGAGGAACAGCATTTATCATTAATAATAAAATTTACAAAACCAGTCTGGCCTGAAACTTTGAAAGCTATGCCTTTGTCAGATTGTATGATGCTCTCATGAAGTATTTAATTCAACAGTTAAAAGAGGATGACAGATACAGTTTTAGAATTACAGATGCTTTTCACTCATTTCTTATTTTATTGAATTATTGTCCTTTTTAATCACTGGTTTCCAGTTACTTCTCCCCATTTTTATTTTCTGATATGTTTTACTTAAGCTTACCCAAGCATAGATAAATCCATTCTCTCCTGCCTGAGTATCCTCACAATCAGCTCTTGAGCACTGCAGGTCAGGCTTAGCAAGACCTTCAGGACCACAATGATGTGATTATTCCATGGTCTGAAACAAGGAACCAACATCTATTACCTGTTACTATATATTGCATATACATTCAAAATACACAATAAAACGTATAATAGACCAGAAAGGGTTGAAGATGTTTGTAGTACAGCTGGTCAACTTTGATATTTTACAAAGTGTATAAACTTTGTAAAGATTATTTGCGGTATAAAGCACACATTTGCTGTGCAGCAGGTTTAAAACAGTTGTAGCCTGTCAGATTTTGTTGGAAAATAAAATAGGTATTTGCTTTCTAAGTTACAGGATCAAGGTTGTTTGCCTTCATCCCTTTTCTTGGAGAAGCCAGCCAGTTCCTTGCTCCCAAGCCCAGACTTTGGGCTCCAGAGAGCTGCTGAGATCTCTGCTAGTCCCATACTGATCAGGAGAGCACAGGACAGTTGCATACTTGTAGGGAATCAGGGAACAATAACAAAACTTGGGTCTCAACGTTAGAGAGAAGTTATTTTTAGCAGAAGCCATGCTTTTGTGTACCTGTATATATCAGTGAAGAATAATAAACAGAAAAGGACACTTAGTATAGGCCCAATTTTTATAGTTACCAGATAAACTAACAATCTGGTTTCTAGATTAGTATGAATGCAAATAAATTCTAAATAAAGTCTGTCTTTAACTGATGGAATAAAACTCTACTTAGCAGTAAATTAATTCATTTAATAAGCCATAAGACTCTATTCTGAGGTAAGTGTGAAGTAACACCTACCTTGGTGAGCCCACGGATATCTGAGACATCACTTCAACTGCAAGGTTTGCAAGGAAAGCCACCCGAGGTAAGTTTTGTCTACTACAAATACACACTTATGAATTAATTATGTAACTGGGGATTTCCAGGGTTTTGGTTTGTTTCAGCATTTTTATGTGGCTCTGGTGTTCCTCAAATACATTGAAGTGTTAAATGTTATGCAAAGCTTTCCCTGAAATGGAGCTGCCCTGGTGCAACCAAAAAGGGGTAAGGACAAAAGAGAGAAGTAAGCAGCAGGAGGGAAGGGAGGGATTTCTCTGCACCCCTGTCAGGAAGTCAGCGTGGAAAAGAAGAAGGAAATACAAATATCTGACTGTAAATCAGTGAAAACCCGAGAACAGGGGGTATGCACAAAACGGGGAGGGGAAGGCTTTGATATGTTATGTAGCCTGTAAATAAGCAAAAGGAGAAAGAGTTATGGAGTCAGCTAGGGTTTAAATATCAATTACAGGACGTAGTGTTTGTGGTAGCCTCTGTTAGACCTGATGAGCTAGAAAATACCTTGAAGGCTTCTGTCCTAAATATAGCATCTTAGTAGCACTTCAGTCTTGGGGGATTACTTTGCGGGCTATAGCACTGCTTGATATTTTTCTCTTTGCTTTTGGTCTCATTTTCTCTAGCTGATAATGTATCTGTGCTGATGGGCTTTAGGGAAACCACCAGCTTATCTACCAAGCATAAAGAAAATAAGTTCCAGCAAAATAAGTTTGCTATTACCTCCTGTTCAAATTCACTCGTAGAAATGTAAAGCCTACATATCCTTTTCATCTCTCACTGGTGCTCTTTCATTGCTGACACAACAAAGGAGACTGATGCAAGTCAAGAGGTTTTGGGTTTATTCTTCACTTTCCCAGACATATTTGGCTTTTGGAGCAATTCATGGTTTTAACACCTATTTCTTCATTATTTTACCAGAGAATACCAATGAGATGCAGACTTTTATAAAACACCTCATAAACCTGGGCTGGCAGAACATCAGAAATATAATTAGCTTAAAATTTAGCTGAACTATTAGCTAAAAAATTATTTTAATTTTCCAGCATGATTTCTTAATAAATATTTCCTACAAAAATAGTAGTAGTAGTAATAGCAGTAGTAGTAGTAGAAGTAGTAGTAGTAATAGCAATGATGATGAAAATTCACAGCTCACTGCACTGAATTTTTTTTCTTACTGTTATTTTTATCTTTTTTTAATGAAAGTAAAATTTAGATATATGTCAGAATGTAAATGCTCAGACTGGCTTCATATAAATTTTGGTTACTTGTTTATGCAGGAAAATTAAGCAAAATAATATAATCCATTCCTTCTATACTAAGTAGAATTTTTAGCATATGCAGTGAGTTACTTCAAGTTATGCAGTGGTAATAATGACAAGGGAATAAATTAATAATAGTGTTGTTTTCTGGTTTGAGTTCTGTTAGTGCAGGCAAAAACACAGTGTTAAAAAATTGATTGGGAAGCAGTTTCCACCTGAAAAAAAGAGAACAGTTTCCAAAAAATGCAGTTAAAACGTTTGTATTTGCAACTAAAGTACTAGTTTAAGAATGCTGTATTTACAATATAGATATTTAGACAATAGGAAGGATTTCAAGCAGTTGTTTTCAACGTTTTGGAAAAAAAATGTTATTTTACTAGGTGAATTATCTCTGCCTGAATTTTGCGTGCTTGTGCTGCAGACAGAACTATACCCTTAACCACTTGTTAGCACTTAGCGAGCTGATGGAGAGCCAGCCGGGTTTTCCTGAGGCTCCCGCCTCCCGGATGACATTACCATCGGTCCCTTCCCGCCCGGGGGCTCGGGGGGCAGGGGCAGCCGGGCCAGGCCATCCAACATCCCGGCGTGCAGGGAATCCCAGCCGGGTTCTCTTCTGACCGAGAGAAAGCCCCAGCCCTGGTCTTGATGAGGAAAATCTGGCTGTGGGTTCGGGGAAACTGAGAGCCGAGAGAATCCATGTTTATCCCAGTGTGTTGCATGGGAGAACGCAGTCGTGCGAAATCCAACCCCCTTCATACCCAAAACTGTGGATTTTTCTACACTTCTTGCAATTCATATCTACTTATACATTCAAATGCTAATTATAAATGTCCACTGAGACTACTCACTTAACATCTTGATTTATATTCAGGCTTAACCGTCACTTCTAATTAATATTCTGCTTAAGCCTGTATAAATAATACATGCCATGATTTAAAGTAAAATAGTTAAAACAGCAATAAAATAAGCGGGTAAAATTTCCATATGATGCTTACCTTCTACATCCACAGCGCAAACTCTTGTAAGCCAATGCATTTTGTGTATTTTATTATCTTTCCCTGCTTCCTGCAGAGAAGGAATAAATAATTTGAAATACAAGAATATATACTCTAGGATCCTATTTATTTTTTATTTGACATTTGTTGTTTCATTGTTTGGGGGTTTTTATTGTCCTTTTGTTATTTTGGTGTATTTAAGAGAATATATTCTCCCTCTTTGAGTCGCTGTTTCTTGTAATTATCCTTTCTATTATCTCTGCATTCATCTGCAAAGGAAATTGAGCACTGCCTTATTTTTTACACACTGAATGACCCAGAGAACCTACTCTGCATTATGGCTTATCACTGGCAGATCATTTCTGCTTTACCATACTCAAAAGAAAGCTTAAATTAAGATTTTTTTATTATTATTATTTAAAAATAAATAAATTAATAAACATAAATAAATAAATAGGGAGCATTTAGACTATGAATTTGTATCAGATACCTCTTTGAGTATAATTGGTTTGGGGTTTTGAGAAAACGTCATGTAATACCTCTCATAAAAATAAAAAATAGGCCATAAAAGGACACTAAAGTTAAGTGACAGGCATAACTGGAAATTAAAATCCCCAAAATATGGGAAGAGCATTTTCTCTTAGCACAGATGTACCTCAGCATTCTGCCCAGCAGCAGCAGATCATACTCTATATGCCTCACTGGCTAGGAAAAATGGGAAGATTAAATTTTATGTTAGGGACGTATCCAAGATAGCTGAGGTTATGTGAGTAATCTTCATATCTTCTCTGTGTTTGTTTGATACACATGGCATAGTAACATCCTTCTTGTAAAGGCTAAAGAGCTGCTGTTTTACTTACTGTGAAGCCTGTAGATGATTCTACATAAATGCTTCAATATTCATTCTGAATACAGCTCCGAACAAGACAGGGTTGTACATAATTTCAATTAATTTATTTCACAGCCAGTAGAATTACTTTACATCCATCACAATAGTGGCAGAAATTAGAGCTTTGCTTCTCTCTAAGTGTGAATAACATTACGGTGAAATTTTTAAGCAAATAACCTCCAAAGAATAAAAGATGTTATACGAAGTAATTAGATGGGATGCCAACAGGCTGGCCTCCAGGTTAGAGTCATGAAATAATTACTTTCATTTTCATTGACTGGTTTGTTCCAGAAATTGCTTTTCTGATGAGTTGCAACCAATATGTAGATATATGAATAGCAGGAGTCATTTTAAGAACAATTTTTTTATTATTATTTTTTTATTTTTTTTTTAATTGTGGAAAGGAAAATGTCCACACTCTTGAGCTGAACTGTCAGTGAATTGAGCTGATGCCAGACAGACAGAAAAGACACATGGTTCTCTGTGTTGGAGTTTCTGGGACTGGGCTCTGCTTGGTTCCCTTCTGAAAGGCATTGAATTCTGCAGGATTATTCCAGATCAGCTTCTCTTCATCATAATATTTTTGCTTAAACTTCATTGTAAGGCTTAAACTTCATTGTAAGTATCACACCTACTAGCTTTGAGACACACAATGAAAATGGGCTCCATACTCATAAACTTTACCTGCAGAACAGTTTCTGTTAGAACTATTTATTTACTATTCATTTGTTTGCTATTCATTTATTTTCTTGACCACTGATAAAAGAGAAAGATGAATCAATGTTCCTCAAAAAAGAAAAAAATTTCTCAAGAAAGACAGTAACCAAAACTGGTTTCAGTTCCAGGTATTAAGGCACTTTACTCAAACACTGGTAACTGATGGCATTCCCGAGAGAAGAAAGTCAAAGCAAACCCTGCAGCTGGGCCACAGGAACGCTGAAGAGAGGCAGGGACAGAAAATTAACTCCTCGTGGGTGCTTTTTAATGAGAGCTGCGATTAACAGTGAATCTCATCTGCCTATTTTTTTTTTTTTTAAGCTCATTTCTTAGCCTCTTGGTTAAAACTAAGGGCAGATTCATTGGGGAGACACAAGGGAGCTTCAGCACTCTGCATTAGGTGCTGGCTGGGCTTTGCCAGCTCACAACAGTTTCCATCCTTAGCACAGATAAAATCATGGGGCCAAAGAGGTCAGAAAACTGCAGTATATACAGTTAACCCATTTCCTTCCTAACTTCTGATTTCAAGGCCATGCTGGTGCTTTTTTTGGAGACAGATTGGTGATGGTTGTATTTCTGGGACTGGCCACAGGTACCTACCCCTCTATGGGGAATTTTGGCCACTGCTGTGCTGAAGGCAAATGCCTCCATGTGCAATGAGATCACAGTGGTGCTGTGAGATTTGCCAGGGTGTAAATCATGGGCAGCTGAAAAGGCAGCTACAGAGTGGCTGAAATCCGAGCACACATAAGCCTGTAAGTCACGATTCCTGACAACTCATGTCCAAGCCACCTTGCAGCTCATCACCTCTGGCAATGCTGGCTCTCTCCTCTCCACAGCCAGGTCATGAGGGTGGCCACAACCCCCTTGTCACAGGTCACAGCTCGACACAGAGCATCACTGATCTCAGGTTCGATACATATTTCAGCAGCAGCTGAAAATCAGATGCAGCACCACTCAGCTAGTTCTTCTAAATCTGTCTGTAACATAAAGCTGGGTCTTGCACTGCCCCAGTGCAAGCTGCGAGGTGGAGCCCAGACTTAAGGATCTGACAGAATACAGAATGAGCAGGGACAGTATGGAAACTGGGAGTGGGAATGCCTTCGGACACCTCCCTGCTGAAGGTCTTCTGAGTGGCATCAAAAGGAGAATTTCTTTTTCTCCCTTCATTTTTAGTCAAATATTTCTAAAAATTATGTCATAATCTCCCCAACACATGGCAATAATACTTAATGTTTCTCTGTAAGACTTGCCCTATTTTGCTGAAAACTATTACACTTTTTTGCAGGAAATATGTGATGAAATTCTATAATTTACACCATTGAAGAGAACTGTACTGGTTTTTTTCAAATAGGCATGAATCCATGAAGTGTAGTGCTTTTTAAAAGCCATAAAAATTGAATTTATCTGCTTCACTCTTTTAATTGCTGGTCCAGGTGATCTAAAAATATTACTAAAATGAAGTCAAGATGACATTCTTTTTCCGAGTAGGTGTGTCTTAATATCAGCGGCTCTTTCATTTCAGGTTATTTATTTATAACGACAACTTCTCAGTGATGTTCTTTTGAGCTTGTAAAGACATTCAGCTTTGGATCTTCCCGTCCGATGCTCGATTTAGACCGCTTGCTGACAAAGAGACGAGAGCGAAATCCAGAGCAGTAAAATGGAGACATTTAGCAGCTCTGGGGGCAGGCAGCCGGTGTGAGGAAGGGTGAAGTCTGTGTGCTCAGAGTAACCCTGACATAAGGCGAGGGCAGTGTTTCCTTTGTGCATTGCTGCCATCTGCTGCATTTCATCAGCAGGCTCGTGGAGCCGGGCTTTTTCCTTCATCACACTCGGAACCGAAAGGAGAAGGAGCCCCACAGATTCCGTCTCTCCGCAGCAGTTTCGGAGCAGCCTGAATCCTTTTGACTTCGGTAACTAAAGCTCTCTCTCCATACTCACCCAGCTCGAACGATGTTTCCTCAGCACAGACAGGAGAGTTTACAGCTCAGTCATTTGCTTATATTTCCCATCATGCAAATTTGTTGCAAGCCAAGAATTAATTCTGCTCTCTGAACTGCCAAAGAAATGCGGGGAGGGGACAGGGACGTGGTTTAGCAGTGCTCAGGACACAAAGTATATACTGTCCTCTAATCGTCTTCTTTGCTTGTAGCAAGTTACATAGATCATCCT